CGCCGAGCTGTGCGGCGTGTTCCCGGCGCAGCAGGTGGACCGCGTCATGGCCCTGTTCCCCGCGCTCTCCGACGTGGCCCGGCTCACGCTGCTCATCCGGAGGTTCCGAAGGTGCGGCGGGCCCGTAGGAAACCCCTGAGCAGCGGGTGCACCCGGGCGGCCCACCCGTGGGGCTCCCTTTCCTTTAAAGATGGTCAGGGGAGCCCGCTTCTTCCCCCAGCTCTGCCCACGGTGGCACTCAGTGACTCGGCGATGCGTCCGCGTCCTGTCCTGCAGAGGAGGGCTGGCTGCCCCCGTGGAGGGAGTGACGTCTCCTGCCTGCCACACCGCGGCCCCGCCGGGCTCTGGAGCTCTCCATGGCTGCTTTGGTCCCGCTGCCGTTGGGATCCACAGTTGGGTCACAAGGTCAATGTGACACCAGAAACGGAGTGGAGACAGCACACCCCAGGCCATCAGGCGAAGTACCTACGGAACTCTTGTTTGTTAGCTACGTGTGTGCCTGCCTACCCTGTAACTTTAATGTGGGTCATCTCAAAGGTTCGAGAAATTCTGGTGAACGGTCTTGACTTTCGTTGCATCAAATCATGTGTGAAATAAGTAGTCAGCTGGCCAGTGGAGGTTTCAGCGTCTAGAGGTTTTCATATGAGCTGTTTCTCTTATAGTCTCGTGAGGGCAACCCAGAGTTCTGGCCTTGATGTGTGGGCTCCACTTGTCACTCTGAAGTTGTGTGTCTGTGCTGGTCTGTGGAGGTGTCGCAGGGGCACATTGTTCTGAGGTCCTGCCTGCGGGGCCTTTACCCCCTTCACACACACACACACACACACACACACACACACACACACACACACTTGACTCAGGGGTAAATGGTCCAGCACAGGTCCTCTACTGGCCCAGGCTTCTAAACCACCCCTCACAGCCCCGCCTCAGAAACCTCCAGGTTGGTTCGAGACAAGCTGGGATGAGCCTCCGTCATTGAGGCATATTGCCACCTGCACCGTTACTGTCTTTTCCAGCCGACTACTGCTTTTAGTTTTGGACAGAAGTGGCCCATCCGTCTGTAATGGACAAGAAACTACAATGGCAAATGATGTTGCCAGAGCATGGACCTTGTGTCCTCAGGCATCTCAGAACAGCGTCCATCCATTCATTCTGGGTTCTGAGACCAGTTCTGCAGGTCTTGGCTGATTTGTTCGTAAAGGGACTTGGTGGCGTGGCGTTGGCAGAGCCTGCGAGGCACCTCCCAATGGAAAACCAGCTGCCAACCCCTGCAAGCTTCCTGCGGACTGGAAAGAGCAGGGGGAACTCTTCTTGGTGCATTACTTGGCTGCATTGTTGGCACAGCCCAGGGTGTGCCCCAGGAGAATGCACTCCTGGCCCTCTAATTCATGGTTAGTGCTGCCATTGGAGATACGGTGACGTTGTGTTTGCCTGTGACCCACTTCATTGTTTTAAATTAGATTCTCAGCATGGCTTCAGACAAATCTGTTCTTCACATGGCAGCCACAATTACACCTTATTTTTGGTCTTTCTTTTTTATGGCAATGACTTTTTACTTTTTTGGTGTTTTTATTTTTTTATTTTGACAAGACAAGCTTTATGTTAGAGCTGCGTTTGTCCCTTGGGTTTGTCTCCAGATGTAGAATCATGCATTGCTAATTTACAGTTGGAAATGTTTAAACTGCTTCCTTGGAGGACAAGTTTGAGTCTTAGTAAGCTGTAAAGCTATTACTTGGTTTGCTGTGATTAAGACAAGCACCAGAACAAGTGAAGAAACAGCACATTTCAATGTAATCCCCTTTGGAATTATTTTCCGAAGTCTTGGTATGTCTTTGTGACACAAAACATGGATGGGACGGGTGAATGAAATGTTCCTAGTTGCATAGCTGTTACATGCTCCGAAAATAAATCACTTTTGCCCACACCTGGGCTCTGCGCTGTCAGATTGTGTCACAGTTTCTCCCGTGTCACTTTCCCCCTAGGCTGGCTTTCATGTTAAATACTGTGGGTGTGAAGATGGAGGCTGCTTCCAGTGCTATTCCACCCCGGGGGGTGGGGGGAGCTGGAATCCGCCTTTTCCCGGAGAGGCAGCCGGGACCCCAGGCAGGGACATGCCCTTGCTGGCTGCTCATGGGCTGTTCCCAAGGACACAGGCTGCTCACCTGTTTGCTAGACTTTTCAAGTCCTCATTACAGAACAACAGAGCATTCTCATAAAAGCTGCTCTTGTGTGGACCTGCAGCGGAGTCCTTGATCACTCATATCTGAGGAGCCCGGGCTGAACCACAGTTAAGCAGGCGTAGTTCCCCAAGGCCTCGGGAAGGTGGTTTCAGGCCGAATTGCAGGATGTTGGGGGATGAGGGGTAGAAAGCAGGGAAGCCACTCATGTTGGCATTGCTCCAGATAAAATGAATCCCAGCTCTTGGGATTTTTACAGAGAACTCAGAGGGGGAGCAATGAGCTGACTGCCAGCCGGCTCCCTGCATGGGGTAGAAGAGCATGGGGGTGGGGGGCAAGGGGAAGAGGCATTAAGGAATGGGGAGGGGGCTCTGGGAACTGGAGCAATTAGTTGGAATCACAAATCCCACCATGAGAGAATGCAAGGAGCCAGGGGCCAGAACTGGCTTTGTAACGGCTGGGCCCTGTGCAAAATTTAAATGCAAAGCCCCTGTTCAAAGGGAATCGAGAATTTCAAGACATTGTCAGCAGAGCTTTCAACCAACCGTGGGGTCCTTCTGAGTGTGGGGCCCTGTGTGACTGTACAGGTCACTGCCCACGGAGCTGCCCTGTGTGCAGTTACCCACAAGACAAGCAAGAGCATTCCCCACACTGAGCGAGTTCGTAATAAAACACTGAGTGAAAGGAGTCGGAGCCCAAGATGAGCCACATACACTTTATAGCTGGGAAAGGCCACGTGCATCCAGGGCAGGTGCTGGTCCTCCAAGCCTCACCCTCAGGGACAGCCCACTGCATCCGCCCCCCCTCCCCGCCCCCGGAATGAATGGGCCTCCCTGGGTTTTCCTGCCTGCCTCTGATGCAAGAAGCTAAAAAGGGGAAGTGAAGGGGCTTGGGCAAACCACACACTGGATGGGCCACTTCCAAATGGGGATGAGGTGTTGGTAGGGGGAGCTCTACCCAGGCAGCATCTACACTGGTTTGTATTAGGCCAGGCCCTTTGGTTAGGAGCTTGGCTCACAAACCCAGTGGCTGGCGGCCAGGGGTGAGGAGTGGAGGCAGCTGCGGGGCTGGCTGGAATCAGGGGCTTGAACTCTGTCAGGACTCTCATCTGTTTTCTTCTGCATGTGGAATTATTCTATTTTTCTAAGGGTTTCCCTACATAATGAGAGCCATTCCGTTGGCAGACCTATATATACACAGATGCTTCTAGCTTACAGGGCTCAAGAAGCAGCCTCAGAAAAATCCTCGGGAGAATTCCAATTGGCTGGCTTGGGTCATGTGCCCGCCCCTGGACCAATCACTGTGGGTACTGACACGGGCGCTGGCTCTCCTGCCCAGGCCTCTGGCTGTGACCAGGGCCTGGACTGTGACTGTCAGCTCCCACCTGAACCCACGGAGTTCGGGGTTCAGGGGTTGATGGGGATGGTGGGTAGTTTCCTCAAAGAGGTGGGAACAGTGTCCAGCCAGACAAAACCAGTGCCCACGATAATGTCAGAATCTGGGGCCTGACCAGGATGTAGGGCAGCCCTTCCCACCTCCACCCCTCCTCCCCTCCCACCCGAGAGAGGAGCTGGCGCTTATTCGCCCTCCCCTTAGGGAAAACCCTGCGTCTGCCAGGCCGCAGACTGCCAGGCGGAGCTGTCCGTGGGAGGGAGTTGGCAGGGCCTGCCGCCACAGTGCCCGGGAATTCTTGGGTTCACCTTGCCGGGCCTGGGATGGTGCCCAGGTGAGCAGCAGGTGGGAGACTGCCAGAACCCCTGTAGGGGAGGAAGTGTCTCCTCAGGGTCCAAAGGTCGCTATGTTTCCTTTGACTCCCTTCTGAACTGATGTCCCCTGGAGCTCAGGGAGCTCCGGGAGTCAGGGCAGCTCAGCCCAGCAGCGGACGCCGTGGCAGAAACGGGGGCCGAGGGCCCGAGCCAGCTTGGCCATCACTTTGAGTTCCTGAGG